TTCAAAACAATGATTACCAGGAAGTTCAATGAACTCACATTGAGCTTTCAGAAATTAGAGAGAAATTACATCAATCTCACTGCAAACTATATAAACATGAAAAAAGGAAATAGAAACTCTCAACAAAGGTCAAGAGGAAATGAAGAATACAATTTCTGAACTGAAGAACACAGTAGAAGGAATGAAAAGCAAGATCAATGAAGCAGAAGATCAGATTAGCAAGGTGGAGGACAAAGTAGAAAACAACATCCAGAAAGAGCAAGAAAAGGAAAAGAGGCTCAGAAAGAATGAAGAGGGATTAAGAGAAATGCAAGACAATATGAAATGTAATAATATCCGTATAATAGGGATACCAGAAGGAACAGAAGAAGAGCAAGGGATCGAAAACCTAGTTGAACAAGTAATGAAGGAGAACTTCCCTAATTTGATGAGAGAAAAAGTCACACAAATCCAGGAAACACAGAGAGTCCTAATCAAGAGGAACCCAAAGAGGCCCACCTCAAGACACATCATAATTAAAATGGCAAAATTTCAAGACAAAGAGCGAATCTTAAAGGCAGCAAGGGAGAAAAAGGAAGTAACATACAAGGGAGCCCCAATAAGGCTAACAGCTGACTTCTCAATGGAAACACTTCAAGCCAGAAGAGAATGGCAAGAAATACTCCAGGTAATGAGAACCAGAGGTCTGCAACCAAGGCTACTATATCCAGCAAGGCTCTCGATCAAGATAGAAGGCCAAATAAGAAGCTTCCCAGACAAAAGAATTCTAAAAGAATACACCTTCACCAAACCAGCTCTGCAAGAGATTCTAAAGGGACTGCTTTAAGGAAGGGAAGGAAAAGAGAGAGAGAGAGAGAGAGAGAGAGAGAGAGAGAGAGAGAGAGAGAGAGAGGAACACATGTACCTAAAACAAAATGAATAAGTTCCTATCAATAATAACCTTAAACGTAAATGGATTAAATGCTCCAATCAAAAGACACAGAATAGCTGAATGGATAAGAAAAAATGACCCACATATCTGCTATCTACAAGAGACCCACCTCAGGATAAAAGAGCTACACAGGCTGAAAGTGAAGGGCTAAAAACAAATCTTCCAAGCAAATGGACAGGAAAAAAAAGCCGAGGTAGCAATACTCATATCAGACAAAATAGACTTCCAAACAAGGTCCATAAAGACAGACCCAGAAGGTCACTTCATAATACTCAAGGGAAGAATCCACCAAGAAAACATAAATATTGTAACTATATATGCACCCAACATAGGAGCACCCAAATACATAAAGAAAATCTTAGAGGACTTCAAGAAAGATATGGAGAGCAACACAATTATAGTGGGAGATTTTAACACCCCTCTATCAAAAATGGACAGATCTTCTAAACAAAATATCAACAAAGATATTGTGGCATTGAACAATACCCTTAAGGAAATGGAATTTACTGATATATACAGAGCCCTCCATCCAAAAGAAGCTAAATATACATTCTTCTCAAATGTACACGGAACATTCTCAAAGACAGACCACATGATAGGTCACAAAACAAGCCTCAAGAATTTCAAGAAAATTGAAATCGTACCAAGCATTTTCTCAGACCACAAGGGACTGAAGCTAGAAACCAACCCCAAGGGAAAAAACCAAAAACACTAAAAATCATGGAGATTAAATAGCATGCTATTAAACAATGAATGGGTCAAGAATAATATTAGCGATGAAACCAAAAGGTTTCTGGAAACAAATGAAAAAGAACTCACAACAACCCAAAACTTATGGGACACAAGCCAAGGCAGTCCTGAGAGGGAAGTTCATAGCGATACAGGCCCACCTAAAAAGGTTAGAAACATTCCAAACAAACAACCTAACTCTACGTCTACAAGAACTCGAGGAACAACAACAAAGGCAGCCCAGAGCAAGCAGAAGGAAGGAAATAACCAAGATCAGAGCAGAATTAAATGACATAGAGACTAAGAGCACAATTCTAAGGATCAATGAATCCAAGAGCTGCTTCTTTGAAAAGATAAACAAAATCGACAAGCCTTTAAGCAGACAAATCAAGAAAAAAGGAGAGAAGACCCAAATAAACACAATCAGAAATGAGAGAGGAGAGATTACAAGTGATACCACAGAAATACAAAGGATTGTAAGAAATTACTAGGAAGAACTGTATGCCAAGACATTTGAAAACCTAGGTGAAATGGACAAATTTCTAGAAAAATATAATCTTCCAAAACTCAATGAAAAAGGAGCAGAAAGCCTGAACAGACCAATAACAACAAAAGAAACTGAAGCAGTAATCAAAAAACTCCCAACACACAAAAGCCCTGGACCAGATGGTTTCACAGGAGAATTCTACAAAGCATTTAAGGAAGAGCTAACCCCTACCCTTCACACACTATTCCAAAAAATCCAAAAAGATGGGAGACTCCCAAACTCTTTTTATGAGGCCAACATCATCCTAATTCCAAAACCAGATAAAGACACAACAAAGAAAGAAAACTTCAGGCCAATATCACTGATGAACATTGATGCTAAAATCACCAAAAAAATACTGGCAAAACGCATCCAACAATACATTAAAAGGATCATACACCATGACCAAGAGGGATTCATTCCAGGGATGCAAGGATGGTTCAATATTCGCAAGTCAGTAAATGTAATACATCACATAAACAAAAGCAAAGACAAAAACCACATGAGTATATCAATTGATGCAGAAAAAGCATTTGACAAGGTACAGCACCCATTCATGATAAAAACACTCGGCAAAGTGGGAATAGAGGGAGCATTCCTCAACATAATAAAGGCCATATATGAGAGACCTACAGCCAACATCATACTCAATGGGCAAAAATTTAAATCTTTTCCACTAAGATCAGGAACAAGACAAGGCTGTCCAATTTCACCACTTCTATTCAATATAGTACTGGAAGTTTTAGCCACAGCAATCAGACAAGAAAAAGAAATAAAAGGCATCCAAATCGGAAAGGAGGAAACAAAGCTGTCACTGTTCACAGATGACATGACAGTGTACATAGAAAATCCTACAGACTCTACCAAAAAACTGCTTGACCTAATAAATGAATTTGGCAAAACAGTGGGATACAAAGTCAATATCCAGAAATCAAAGGCATTTCTGTACACCAACAATGAAACAGCAGAAGCAGAGATCAAGGAAAAAAAATCCCATTTGAAATAGCAAAAAAGAAAAAATAAAATATCTAGGAATAAGCCTAACCAAAGAGGTAAAAGACCTGTATTCAGAAAACTACATAACACTCAGGAAAGAAATCAAGGAAGACACAAACAAATGGAAACATATACCGTGTTCATGGATTGGAATAATTAATATCATCAAAATGTCCATACTACCCAAAGCAATTTACACATTCAATGCAATTCCTATTAAAGTACCAATGGCATATTTCACAGACATAGAACAAACACTTCAAAAATTTATATGGAATTATAAACAACCCCGAATAGCTGCTGCAATTTTGAGAAAGAAGAGTAAAGTAGGAGGGATCACAATACCTGACACTAAACTATACTACAAGGCCATTGTGATCAAAACAGCCTGGTACTGGCATAAAAACAGGCACATGGACCAATGGGACAGAACAGAGAGCCCAGAAATAAGGCCAAGTCTCTGTGGTCAATTAATATTTGACAAAGGAGGCAGCAACATAAAATGGATTAAAAATAGCCTCTTCAACAAATGGTGTTGGGAGAACTGGACAGCCACGTGTAAAAAAAATGAAACTTGAGCACCAACTTACACCATATCCAAAAATAAATTCAAGGTGGATAAAAGACTTAAATATAAAACGTGACACCATTAAAGTCCTAGAGGAGAACGTAGGTAGGAAAATCTCAGATATTTCACACAGAAACTTTTTTACTGACATGTCCCCTAGAGCAAGGGACATAAAGGAAAGAATAAACAAATGGGACCTCATCAAAATTAAAAGCTTCTGCACAGCTAAAGAAAACTGTATCAAAATTAAAAGAGAACCAACTGTATGGGAAAACAAATTTGCCGATGACACCTCAGACAAGGGTTTAATCTCCAAAATATATAAAGAACTTACAAGACTGTACTCTAGGAAGACAAGGAATCCAATTAAAAAGTGGGCAAAGGACTTGAACAGACACTTCTCCAAAAAGGACATACAGAAAATCCAAAGACACATGAAACGATGTTCAATATCGCTACCTATCAGAGAGATGCAAATTAAAACCACAATGAGATACCACTTCACACCAGTCAGAATGGCCATCATAAACAAAGCAACAAACAACAAGTGTTGGAGAGGATGTGGAGAAAAGGGATCCCTAGTGCACTGCTGGTGGGACTGCAGACTGGTACAACCACTACGGAAAGCAGTATGGAACTTCCTCAGAAAACTAAAAATGGATTTGCCTTTTGACCCTGCAATTCCACTGTTGGGACTCTATCCTAAGAATACTAAAACACCAATTCAAAAGAACCTATGCATCCCAATGTTCATAGCAGCACAATGTACAATAGCTAGATGCTGGAAGCAACCTAGATGCCCATCAGTAAATGAATGGATCCAAAAACTATGGTACATTTACACAATGGAATTCTATGCAGCAGAAGGAAAGAAGGAGCTCCTACCCTTTGCAACAGCGTGGATGGAGCTGGAAAACATTATGCTAAGCGAAACAAGCCAGGCAGTGAAAGACAAATACCATATGATCTCACCTTTAACAGGAACCTAAATAATAAAACAAAGAAACAAGCAAAATATAACCAAAGACACTGAAATAGAGGCCAGGCTGACAGTGCCCACAGAAGAGAGTAGAGGGAATTTAAGGGGACAGTGGGAAGCGTTCACAGGAACAAACTTAAAGGACAGATGGTCATAAACTAAGGGGAGGGTGGTAATAGGAGGGAAGTGAGGAGGGGTGGGAGGGGGGACTGGATTGGGAGTAAAAAGGAGAAAACTGTATTTGAACAATGATTAAAATAAAAAAAAACACTAAAGATAGAAAATTTATTATAATTCAAATAGCTATGCAAACTGGGGCCTGAAGAGGGTGACAAAGAACATTCCCAACTAAGCTGTGCATGTCTGTACTACAGGTACCAAATCAGAGTAACACATCCAAGAGAACAAATTAGAATTCAGAGAAAGGAGTAACTCAGAGGCCCACCAGATCCCAATTCCTTTTTGAAATACTCTATTAGTAGTTCTGGCAAAAATCTTGTCTGGTTGCTGAAGTCTGGATGTGACGCTGGGTGGACTAGCTATTAAGGCACCAGCTGTCCTGAGGAGGAAGATGAGGACTGTGAATGAGGGATGGTAGACTTGTTTCTAGGAAAGTAATATCTGATATGCATAGTTAAGGAAGCTATACTTCCTATATTTAAGATGGACTTCACTAAAACTACTAGTTATCTAGTTTAGTAATTGTTGAAAAAACCACTTTAGAAGTAGTATGCCTTTAATTACCTTTCACCATATCATAAATCCTTCAGATGCTGTTAGTACTTATTACTGCTATTGTTGATGTGCTGGTACATTTTTGACACTGCTTGAACTGTGCACAGGTATAAAATTTAGCTTCTTTGCTAAGTTTTTATAGTGATTTAAATACCTTGAAAACAGCCACTGAGTGAGGTAATTTCAGTAAGTAAAAAGAGTTTTTATATAATTATAACACTTATGTGTCAATTCTGCTTCTTCTAATGATTTCGGACTGAGTGTAATAGTTTGAACAATTCTAACTTACACAGCAAGGAGGTCATTATAAGAAAATACTAGTCTAGCAAAACTAGATTATATCCTAATGGTCAATATGAATTTCCCAGTGCTCCTTAGGGATACACTGAAAAGGTTAAAAAATAAAGTAGTTTACTTGTTTATTTTAGTAAACTGAGTGAAGTTACCAGTATTAGACCTGGGTCTATATAGATCTGAAGGTGCTCTAGGGAAGTGATGTGAAAAGATTCAATGTTACCAAATGGCAACTGTTCAAATGATAGTCTAGCTGTTGGCACCCAGAATGGCTTGGATGTACTTATTTCCTTCCATATATACAAGTGAGAAAGTGCTTCTTAGAATTTCTCTCATTAGAGACAGGAAGAATGAAAAGTGTGGCAGAGGAGGACTTGGTCTTGGATTAAATAGTGATACCAGAAAATGTAAGACATTTTCACTTTTGAGCTGGGAGGGGACACTACTAGAGTAACAAAAGGATACATGTAAGTTGGGATGCCTTTTGCAGCCAAGTATTTCCGTATAAGTCGCTCAGTACCATACCAGTTAAAACCTTTTGTGGCATGTCCAATGCGTGGAAGATGGACACTTGCTGTTGAAAAGAAAAGAAGATGATGATGTCTTCCTTCATCAAAAAATGACAGATGGGTGTAATATATTCATAGGAGAAAATAATTTTTACTTAGTCACTGTGTGGTTTCCAATGAACCAAATGTATATAATCATGGAGTGTCACACTCAAAGCATACAATTATGTCAAAAAATACTCTGGGGAGGGATTGTAATACAGAAAAATAATTCTATTGAACACAAGGACCTATGGGACTGGAAACAGAACATGATCAGTGGTTGAGATGTAATTAAAATAAACAAAGACTCTTTAAAAAGTCAATCAGTTCAATAAACTCTGAGATACACCAGGTTTGGAACAATACTAAACTATGGTCTTTGACAGAGAACTGTCTGCTTACATGAACTGTGACTCTCCAAAACAGGTCATGATAGGCAGTTTTCCAACTGCCTATGACCAGTTCATCACTGGTGCTCTGCTTCCTAATCTGTAAAATCATGATATAAATACCCCAGTGATTTGGAAAGGAAAAAGGGCTTTACAAATACAAAATGACAAGCTAGTTACTTCTGTTGCCTCTCATATCGGGACTTACTTTTACCATATAGATTGAATGGGTTCTTGACTCTCACTACCCCTTAAAAATCACACCACACGCTTGAAAAAAGAAACCCGTGTACTCCTGAGCACAAATTGAAGAGTTTACCTTTCTTTTTCTTTGCTGCTGAAAATATCTTCTTCAGACCCTCTTCTAGGGCTGCCACCTTGATGCCAGACAGGACATTGGAGCGATCACGGTGCTGAGCCACAATCAAGGCCAACTAGGAGAAACCATCATTAATGGCTGACATGGCATGAGATGGCTACACAGCCAACTAAATGACTTGCCCTTGGAGGGGGTGTGAGCAGTCTCCAAATAGGTTTAGCCCTTTATGGATCATTCAGGCTTTGGCTCCTCCTCTTTGGAATGCTTTGCCTGAATGGCCACACACTACCAAATGTATGATTTCACAGGCCATCATAACTGTTTTATCTTATTTTGTGGCAACTTTATATAAGCCTTTCTTACTCTTGTCAAGATATATTAAAACCTGAATCCAGGACAGGCTGGCAATGCTTTCCAAGATAAAGAAGGAATTTTTGAGCATCTTAGGAGCAGAAAAGCCTCTTGAGGTTCTTGTACTCCAGCCCACTAGCTGATGCTCAAGGCCAGCCCCCCACTAGCTGATGCTCAAGTAAGCTCTGCAACCACTGGGATAAGCAACCATTCTATCTCTGTTCAAAATGCCAAGTGTTTCCCACCCTCCTAACCTAAGTGGGGTACAGGTGGAGAGAATGTCAAGGGAGCATCTGGGGCTGACATCACTAGTCACACCATAGTCTTGGTGTTCTCCTCACTGTAAACAGTTTTCTTGAGTCACTGGATTCTGAGCTGCTTATGCACAACCATTGTGTCATTCTCATTTTTTTAGCTTTTATGAAACGAATAAATGAATGACTGAAAAAGCAGAAACCACTTTGTTGTTAGACGTGCAGGCCACTAAACTCAAGAACACATGACTTTCAGCCTAGTTTCTAAATGTCTTTTCTAAGTCAGTAAAGTTTGGCTTGAAATTTGAATATGAATTCAGGCCTTGAAGAAAAAAGCAGGTATGGGAAGTAAACATCTTACAAGAATTCCAAATGACAGACAAGTGGGAGACACTTAAGATGGAAAAGAACTTTAATGTAGGCAGAGGAAATGTGGATTTGTTCTTCTTGGCTAGAAAATAAGATCTTTTATAGAACTTTTGATATAACAAATGATGAAACCCTAAGAGTTTCTAGTCATGTTTTCTTATTTGTTCAGTAAATGTTTATTAAGTATTTCCTATGAGCCATACATACTTCATGAGGTGTTGAGGATAAAAAGACCAAAATTAAACTCTCTGCAATTAGGAGGGGCCTACCCTCTAGGTAAGTGGAAGGTACAAGGAAGTAGGGGACAGTGCTCCAGAAGTTTCATGGGGGCTGGGGGAGAGCAATGGAAGGCAAGGCTCCACCTGTTTATTATGGGCTGAATTATGTCCCCCAGGTTTCATGTGTCGAAGCCCTAAGCCTTCAGTACTTCAGAAAGTGATTCTATCTGGAGATAAGACCTTTAAAAAGGCAATTAAATTAAAAAGGCCTTTAGGGTGGGGCTTAATTCAATCTGACTGCTGTCCTCATAGGAAGAAGAAATTCAGATTCAGACAGAGGAAAGAACATGTGAGGACACATCATGAAGCCAAATACCTGCAAGCCAAGGAGAGAGGACTCAGAGAAAACCAACCTTGGCAGCACCTTAACCTTGGACCTGTGGCCTCCAGAACTGCGAGAAAGTATGTTTTAGTTTTTTAAGCCACCCAGTCTATGGTATTTTATGGCAGTCCTAGCAAACTGATATACAGCCAGAGGCCAATGCAAGTAGGAGCAGTTTCAAGAGGAGGTGATAGGAGCCACATTTTAGCTCTTGTAAGAGTTACAGTTTTTTCACTTACCAAATCTTGACCTTTGCTTCTTGACTCTTTATCATCAATAGGAAATAAAAGGACACTTCCCAAACTCAAGTCTGAGGCAACATAAAAAGGGGCAACAGGAAGAACATTAAGTTCACTAAAGACTGTGTCCAGTCAGGTTTCAAACCTGCCTTTTCTCACTCTCCTGGGCTCACTCAGTGTGAGTAGTTTACTATTTACATTTATTGACCAACCTACAATTCTAGTCATTGTGCTCTAACCCTGGGGATTCAAAGCTGAATATGACAACATTCTGTGTAAATGCCCCAATTACTGTGTCTTTAAGGAGTTCAGTCCTCAGAGCAGCTTCCTGCTCTCAATTCAGTATCACCCGAGCCATTTGCAAGCTGAATCATTTTTGCCTGATATTTATGTTTACCACTGTCATGAAGGTAGGGCTTACTTCCCAAAAAAGATCAATTTTGACAAAAATATGCCTCCAGATCCTGGCACAGTATTTTACACACAGAAAATAATACAATAATACTTTTTGAACAGAAATTACTTCGCAAAGGTTGATTAACAGGTTTCTTTCCTGCCTTATGTACAAGGTTTAATAGTATAAAAATGTTACTCTTTATTCAGAAATACAAATGGAATCACTAAGGATTGAAAGAAAAATGTCTGTTAAATCTGTTTAAAAGTTATCTGATAAGTTTCAAGGTAAAGGCTACAATTGGAATAATTCACCCAAACAAATTGGCAATTCACTTTTTCTTGTTTGTCTACAGGAAAATAAAAGCAAGAAGAAGAAAGTATTACCTTTTAAAACTCTCTGCAAGCAATTAAATGGTGCATTTTTTAAAATAAGTAAGATTCAGAACAAGTTACCTGTTTCTTGGGCAAGGACTATGCACACGTTTGGCTGCAGAGGGCCTGACATATTCTGGAACTCACGTTTAGCATTAGGTTGTAAAGGTATTTCCACATGTTTTTTTCCCCTACTCTGTGACCAGCATGTTGAAGTGAGGAATATTGTTAGAAGCACTTTTAAGTTTTTTTTTTATTCCCATCCTCCTACCTTCCCCCAACCCTTTGGCAACCATCAGCTTATTCTCTGTATCTATGGGTATATTTCTGTTTTGTGTTTGTTTATTCACTTGTTTTGTATTGTTTTCAGATTCCACATATGAGTGAAATCATAGAGTACTGGTATTTGCCTTTCTCTGACTTACTTCGTTTAGCATAATACCCTCTAGGTCCATCCATGTTGTCATGAATGGCAGAATTTCATTCTTTTTTATTGCTGAATAATACAAATACATGTACCAGATCTCTATCCATTCATCTACTGATAGACATTTGGGTTGCTTCCATAACTTGGCTATTGCTAGTAATTCTTCAATAAATATAGGAATGCATATCTCTTTTTGAATTAGTGTTTTTGTTTTCTTTGATCAATGCCCAGAAATGGAATTGTTGGATCATGCGGCAGCTCTATTTTTACTTTTTGAGGACTTTCCATACTGTTCTCCATAGCGACTACACTAATTTACAATTCCACCAACAGTGAACAAGAGTTCCCTTTTCTCTACATCTTTACCACCAGTTGTTATTTGTTTTTTTATTGGTGCTAGCTATTCTGACAGGTGTGAGGTGGTATCTTATTGTGGTTTAATTTACATTTCCCTGATGATTAGTGATGGTCAGCACCTATTCAAGTCTGCTGGCCATCTGTATGTCCTCTTTGGAAAAATGTCTATTCAGGGCCTCTGCTCATTTTTTAATTGGATTGCCTACAATTTTGGGGGTGTTAAGTTGTGCAAGTTCCTTATATATTTTGAATATTAACCCTATATCTGATGTATCATTTGCTAAAATTTTCTTCCAGTCAGTTTTCTTTTTGTTTAAATGGTTTCCTTCTTTTGTGCAAAAACTTTTTAGTTTGATATAATTCCATTTATTTTTCCTTTTGTTTCCCTTGCCAAAAAGACATATCCAGAAAGATATTGCTAAGAGCAATATCAAAGAGTTTATTGCCTATGTTATCTTCTAGGACTTTATGTTTTCAGGTCTTACATTTACATCTTTAATCAATTTTGAGTTTATTTTCATATGTGGTATAAGAAAGTGGTCCGATTTCATTCTTTTGCATGTATCTTTCCAGTTTGCCCAACACCACTTATTGAAGAGATTCTACAAATTTATCCATTAAGGATTATCTAATCTCTTGTAATCCTACGTATTTCTGTAGGTTCAGTTATAATTTCTCCTCTTTCATTTCAGATTTGAGTTTTCTTTATTTCTTCATCTCACTAAAGGTTTGTCAATTTTATTTATCTTTCTGAAAAAACAGCTCTTAGTTTTGTTGATTTTTTTTCTCTTGTTTTTCTGGACTCTAATTTCCTTCCATTTTAATTTTTGCTATTTTCTTCTTTCTGCTAATTTTGGGCTTAACTTTGTTTTTCTTTTCTAGGTCCTTGTAGTATATGTAACATTATGTTGATTATTTTGCAATCTTTCTAATTTTTTAGTGTACTCATTTATCACTATAAACTTCCCTCTCAGAACTGATTTGGCAGCATCCCATAGGTTTTGGTATGCTGTGCTTCATTTTTTTGAGATATTCTTTGGTTTTCCTTTTGGTTTCTTCTTTGACCCCACTGGTTTTCAGGATTGTGTTATTTAATTACCACAGAATTTTCCAGCTTTCCTCATGTCGTTGATGCCTACCTTCATACCACTGCAGTCAGAAAAGATATTTAATATGATTTCAGTTTTATTTTGCTAAGACTTGTTTTGTGTCCTCTCATATGATCTATCCTGGAAAATGCCCCATGCGCACTAGAGAATATTCTGCTGCTGTTGGATGAAATGTCCTCGAAATGTCCTCGAGATGTCTGTTAGGTCTATTTGGTCTAATGTTTGGTTCCAGCACATTACCTCCTTGCTGATTTTTTTTGTCTGTATGCTCTGTCCATGGCTGAAGTGGGATACTGAAGTCCCCTACTATTATTGAATTGTTGTCTATTTCTCCCTTCATATTGCTAACATTTGCTCAATATACTTAGGTGTGCCAATGTTGGATATTTATATATTTATGACTGCTATATTTTCTTGATGAATCAATCCCTTTATCATTATATTATGACCTTCCTCATCTCTTATTACCATTTTTGGCTTAAAGTCTATTTTGTCTGATATAAGTATAGCTATCTCCTCTTTCTTTTGGTTTCCACTTACATGGAATCTTTTTCTATCCCTTTACTTCAAGTTTGTGTGTTTTTAAGGCTCAAGTGAATCTCTTGTAGGAAGCATATAGTTAGGTCTTGTTTTTTTTTTTAATCCATCTAGCCACTCTGTGCCTTTTGATTAATAAATTCAATTTATTTACATTTAAAGTAATTACTGGTATGTAAAAAGAACTTACTAATGCCATCTTGTTAATTGCTTTCTAGCTATTTTCTATTTCCATTGTTTCTTCTTTTCCCTTTGTTTCTGCCTACCTTTCTAAATTGGTTATTGTCTGTGGTGATATGCTGTCTTTCCTCTTTCTTTGGCTTTTCTGAATCTGCTCTAAGTTTCTGTTTTGTGGTTACAATGGGATTTACATAAAAGTTTTTATACATAAAACAGTGCATTTTAGGCTGAAAGGACATGCATTCTGTCTGATCTCCATCATGTCTCCCTCGTGGTTTCAAACAAGGATCTAAACTGGGTCCTTAAGTCTACCCTTTGGCTCTGACCTCTCCTGGACTCTGTTTTTCCAACTGTCCAATCAATATCTAGATCTGGGTTAATTATTTCAACACATGTTAAAAACCTTCTTCCAGTAATTTGTTTTAGTACAAAGAGTATTCTATTCATTTTAAGTCTTTAATCACTTTCCACCCTAGAGAAATGACAGAAGAATTAGGAAAAACCAATTTCTGAGAAATATGAAGGGCCCTTCTGATCAGATAAGGTCCTTCAGCTTAAGTTTCCTGTGAAATAATCACAATAACAGTTTTACTCCTTTTGCCACTTTGTGATTTCTGCTCATAAAAGAAGGTGCACTTACCCCTTCTCTACACCAAAGGAGAATACTGTTCAGAATTCCACGTACCCCTAGCACCAAAAAGCTTTATCACAGCCTGTGCTAACCTTACATATAACTTTACATATAACCTTACATATAACTTCCTTCCCTCAGCACCCAGCTCTTGTTAACACATTAATGATGTGTCTGATTTCTCTCTCACAGGCTGATATAAGTATAGCTATCTCCTCTTTCTTTTGGTTTCCACTTACATGGAATCTTTTTCTATCCCTTCACTTCAAGTTTGTGTGTTTTTAAGGCTCAAGTGAATCTCTTGTAGGAAGCATATAGTTAGGTCTTGTTTTGTTTTGTTTTTTTAATCCATCTAGCCACTCTGTGCCTTTTGATTAATAAATTCAATCTTAAGTGAATCTCTTAAGAGATTCACTTAAGAAAATGGGGTAAGTTGGGTAAGTAATGAAATGCTAAACTTTAACATGCATGTAGGGATCAACATTTATCAAAATACTTGCAAATTCCTTATCTCACTATAGTTCCATGAGGTAGGTGGAATAAATATTATTCACAAATTACAAACGAGAAAACAGGCACGGGGGGGGGGGGGGTAAAGGATTGCCTCAAAGTCACATTACAATGAGCTCATTGGTGACAGAATTCAGACTCCAACCAGCCTTTCTGATTCCTTATCTACTGCTTTTTAAAGCCACATGACACCTATCTTAAATGTCCCCTTACTCCATCCCTAACCCTTCTTCTTTCTGTGCTCCTTACCTTTCATTTTCCCAGCCAGCTCATATATTTTTCTTGGCTCAGTGGATCGTTTTTCCAGAGCTGTGAATAAGCCACCTCTGCCCCAGTGGCCAGAGTCATCTGATAGAAGAGAAAATTTTCTTCTATAGGAGGCAAAGTCCAATCCATAATTTAAAAAACAAAAACAAACAAACAAACAAAAAAGAAAGGTACACCAAATAGACTTGCAGAAAAAAGTTTTTTCTTCCCTTTGAAAATCAATCTAATCTCCTAGGCATATCATAGGTTGCACTTCTCAAATATGTTTAGGTTTTCTGTAATATACCTGGCCATCACAACAGGAAAGCACTGAAAAAATTGGTGTACTGAAAGAGCAGTATCTCTGTGGTACTTCTGTAATTCCTGGAAGATGACTGAGGAATGATGAAGAATAAATACAATATAACAAAGAGCACTGAAGCACTGCTACTACAACAACACATGACTCCCATTTTACAGGTAAGGAAGAGGAAAGGTTAAATGACTTATTCAAGCTGGTGCTAACACAGCCAGTTAATACCTTGCATTTAGAGTTACTCATTCATACTACTGAAATTAGTTAGGATATATTATGTATCAGGTGTTGTTCTAGCACTAGGGTTATAGCAGTGGACAACAGAAAACCCCGCTCCCATGAAGCTTCTTTTCTAGTTCCATGAAACAGTCGAATAAGCAAATACATATGTAATATGTCAGATGATGATGTGTGTCATCAAGTAAAATAAGGTAGAAAAGGGGACAGAGAAAAATGCAGGGATGAGGATGGGGTCTGTTCTATACAAGGCAATCAGGGGAGATCTCTCTGAAACACAGACATTTAAACAATGCTTGACAGGTTCCAGACAGAGGAGGTAAAAAATAAAAAGTGCAAAGATCATTAAAGTGATAAATGCTTAGAATTTTGCTGCTTCTGAAAGACTACATTTGTCTTCTACATGTTGCCTCCTTTTACCCTCTTAAAAACCTTGTGAGAAGAATAATGTAGATATTATCCCATTATATGGATAAGGAAGTCGAGGCTCAGGGAGGCTGGGTTACTCAAGGAGGTAAACAAGAGATAAGAGTCAAATCCAAGTCTCTTAATTCTAAAATTCACATTTTTTGTGACCACACCAGACTGTACTGGGCCCATCAATCACCACTAGGTCAGGACTCTGCTTCATCCTCCCCAGTTCTTGGCATCATAAAGATTAAGGACCCCACCCTGGGCCCGTATCACTTCTCCTACCTACGCACTGCACGATCACAGCATCCTCCACCCCGGCCTGTGGGTGGGTGACATCACCAATGACATACTTGATGGAGTTTGAATCTGAATTTTCGTAATCTAGTTGAGCTGAGCTCTCATCTTCCCCATCCTCTAGGTCTTCTGATTCACTTTCCTCCGAAGGCAGGCAGAAGGACTGGTAATTGTTGGACTCCCACCAGGCCATTCTTCAACCAGACAGAGAGAAAAGGAAATTAACTGGGCAAATCACAATTTCTCTTGGAGTACAGTTTGTATTACAGTTTAGAAACAGTAAGTGCCAAGTGGAAATGTAATTAGAAACTCAACCCAATTGAGTTTTCTGCCTATTTATAAATAAACAAGCAGGCTTACCCAATTAGCTTAATGCTTCCTGACTATACTTCAATAACAAGCAGGTACCAAATATTCCTGTTTTTAAGAATATGACTAAAAAAGACTGTGAGTAAACTACTTTTTGTTAGCTACAGTAAAATCTTAAATTTTCTTCCCTCACCTGAACACTTCTCTGTTTTAGGCAGTCAGGACTTTTCATTTAAGTAAACTGTTTAGGTTAAAGTTTAGTCTTTAAAAAAATATTCTAGTACCAATAGGAGCTACCAGCTTTATAGAAATTTTCTGCAATTTTAAAGTGATGTTCAAGCCCTGGCTTGGTAGCTCAGCTGGTTACAGCATCATCCTGACATGCTGAGGATGTGGCATGCCCTGGTCAGGGCGCATACAAGAATCAATCAATGAATGCATAAATAAGTGGAAAACAAATTGATGTTTTTCCCTCTCTCCCCCCCCCTAAAATCAATAAATAAAAAATTTTTAAAAAGTGATGTTCAACTGTGGACTCACTATAAAGTAGTGATTCCTTTACCAATTGTGACTCTCTGCTTTATAGAATAATACAGCCAAATAGTACACACATACTTTTTCTTATGTTCCACTTTTTCCTTTATCCTCTTCTTCTCCTCTATTAGTCCCTTTCTCTTGGCTGCTGCTTCTTGTCTTTTCTGCCTTCTGTCCTCCAGCTCTTCTGGACTTAGAATCCGCTTCCTCTTGGTAGACCTTTCCACAAGGCCTGGGATGAGAACCTGTAGGAAGAACAAGATCCATAAGCAAGAAGTTTGGGGGCTGCCTGTTCCTTCATGAACTTCATTTATCCCTAGAAGACACTCTGTATGGAGGCAACATGCTTAAAATTTCACAAAACACCACATCTCCATGCCACCTGGCGTGGTAGGAAGACATTTGAATTTACACTTCCATCATACATCTCCGCACAGGCATGGCAACCAGGACATGGTGCTCTAAACTTAACCAAAGCACTGGAATGGTTCATATAGCAGTATATCATTTTGGTTAATTTCATTAGGAATAAGGAACTTCAGAAAAGTAATTTTTAAAAAATTGAAAGCTTACCTTGCGGGATGTCATTTTAGATTTAACGATTTTTAATGGGAATCTTTCTACAATGTATCATATTTCTTTCTTAAACACAGTATTTCAACATCATGATTATCTTAATGGTAGCTAGTATTCAATGACCACACACTAAGTGCCAATTAATGTGGAAATTGGAGATATTGATTGCTAGTGTCTCCCATGACATGGAGTCATGATTATTAAGAGCAGTGTATGTATTTTGCTGTAATAAAGTGATCCCCCCAAGGGAGGGGGCTTAGATGGACAGGGATGCTTTTACCTATATTAAATGGCAAAATAGATTCTCCTGGCTAATGTTTTTTATGCCAACTTTCTACATGGTTTTTATACTACAGTACAGTGAGTTACACTTATACTTCTTGTTTTTAGTGATTATATGTATTATTTTATTGCTACATTAGGAATTAAAATAAACTGTGAGAAGCTGCAAAAGCAAGTCATTTCATGAAGATTATGAAGCAATGACAAGTGACTTATCCATAGGGGGTGCAAGGACTACATACACAGAGGTCATCAACAGTGAAACTGTCAACAGCATCTACCAGTGTAATTTATGCACAAATGGAAAGTTTAAAAAATGTATGTAAGGGAATATTGGTCACCCCGATCTGCCAGCCAGGGGGTATGAGTGAGAAGACATCAGAAAAGGCCTAAAATCTCTACAACACAAAGGTTTACAAAAAAACATGCTCAAACCCATATTTGTTCTTGGGAGAAGATCCTCGTTTTATGATGCCTAATCACGCTCTTTCTCCTGCTGCATAGTTTCCTTTGAGGGGAGAATACTTTTTTCTTCAGTATGAGTTTTACTCAGTTTTGATTTGTCAAACTACACCTCAAACAAGTCTGGCTCATCATTCATCTTGACTAAAGAAAGACTGAAGGCTTGAAGGCTTGAAGGCTGGAGAACGGCAGAGAGCTGGAGGGAGACCACTCCACACACTAGCTGAGGTAATTATACTTACATTTCAACAATTACTTACAAGTTCTTTCTTAATAAATCACAACCACCATCATTTTTTATTCTCTTAGAATGAGATTTTGGAAAAGTTTATTATTTTACATAAATTAATAGTTCTTACACTGCCTTTATTTCGGAGTAACCGGCCCTCTTGACTAGTTTTCTCCAAAAGGGTTTTCTGAAGATTCACCAATTGCTCAAATGATTTTCTGTCTTCTTTACTGGGCTCCCTAGAATAGTCTTTCCCTTCAAATAAGTACATATGATTTTCTAAAAACATAAAACACACAAAAAAGAAATGTTAGATACTAAAGAAAAGTGAATTAGTTCTATTCAAAGAAATAACTAGGGTGAACAAAAGAACAGCCTGTCCCTGGCTGTGTGGCTCAGTTGGTTGAAGAGTCATCCTGGGAACCAAGGAGTTGCAGGTTCAATCCCCAGTTAGGGCACATATCGAGGTTGCTGGTTGATTTTCAGTTGGGGTGTGTATGGGAGGCAATCAATCAATTAATGTTTCTCCCTCACATTGATGTTTCCCTCTCTCTCTTTCCCCCTCCCTTCCCCTCTCTCTAAAATTAATAAACATGGTCCTGGATGAGCATTACAAAAAAGAACAGCCTGTATTCTAAACTGGCTAAGACTAGATTATGATGAAGGTATTGCATTTCCAATGCCACTGGCACTGACAGGTTTGGGGTCCATATGGAGGTCTCACATATTTGCTTTTCATAGGACAGGATATGGCTAAAGCCCTTTTTGTCATCTCTAGATGGTCTGTGATACCTCCATCCTGTTGAGTCTTGAATCACTCATCACTCATCATGCCACACTATTCCTCAACATAAATCTCCTGACATTAAGGTAACCAAGAACATATTCTGAATGCACATTTAAAACTCAACTTTTCCCCCTTTTATAATATTTTTTAAAAGTGGCAAATTGATGAGAAAAATTAAGAATCATAAATATAATCCCTTAGATTGACAATAATTTTTCTAGATCTCATGAAGCTCATGAGACTCACCACAATCCTGGTATAACCAATCCCACTTAAGAAAGGGAAAACTGAGACTCAGACAGGGATTAAGGGACTCCCCAATTCTTATTGCTAATACATACAGAAGGCAGAATTTTCTGACCCTAAGACCTGTGTGCTCACTTCAGTATATTATTGTCTATAAAAGGAGGGAGAGATAATAGGTCAGCAAATAATAACTATAGCAATAACAATACCAAGAGTGTAATCTTGAATAGCACTGTAAGCTATCAGAGCAGTTTCACATCATTATCACATTTGATTTCTGCAACTGTATAAAAAAGAGAAGCAGACATTAACAGCACCAAAAGTTCAAAGAGGTTGGGTGACAGGCCAAGGTCATGAAACACTGATAAAAGAAACTCATGACAAAACAAAACTAGCAACCAAAGAGATGGGGGATAATGATTCTAAGTGAAATGTATTTAATAGCATATGTTACCAAAGAAAGTATTTTCAGAGCATCATGAAATTAGCTATAAGTATGTTTTCTCTAGAGAGTACGAAAGCAAAACATTTTAATTCCCCAGAGATCAATTGCTTCACACTTGTACCCGAATACAACCAGATGTATTTCTAATGACATTTGCTAATTAAATCAGCAGTGGACTTTCAACGAGGTACTCTATCAACATGAGGAAAAGATAAAGACCTGAGAAGTGTCAAATATGATCAACACATTTAGCTACACATTGCATGAATTCTCAACTTACAAACATGCTGGACTGACTGAAAAAAATAATTGTTTTTTTAGCAGTTGAACTGTCAAAGAAATATAATTATTTTTCTAAAAAACAGTGAAGTTTATTTTGTTCTAGTAAACATTAGAAAAATAAGCTGAAATTAATCTAGATGAGTGTAGAAATGAGTCAACACTTCAGTATTTAATGTAATCAAAATGCAAATTAAAAACTACCACATGCATCTATTTCTTCTCCTACCTAAAACCACTAACTGGCAGTAAGGGGATTTTTAAAAGATATGCAAAGCAACAGTAAATGAAAAGTTCGACTCATTGGAAAATGGAGGTTGGCTGGAGGGTGATAACAGGTCAAGAACAGTGGAAGCAAAACACAAATGCCTAGCCAAGGGGTGATTATGAGATAGAGACCCTTTCAATCCTCTAAAAGCTTAAGGCATTACAAGGACAAGGTACCACAGGGCAGGGGCAGTGAGAGAAATTCTGCACACCAAAAATGCGAGTACCATGAGCCCTGACTCACACTGTCTCTTCAATTTGAATAAACAGGTTTATTCCAACCCTTATCCCTTGTCTTCCAAGAAAGGGATTTTGAAGGACTCATCTCTGGAGAAACTGAGTTACCCAGTGAATAGACTTCACATACAGATATGTGGGAAGGACCCTCAATGCGAAAGCCCAGCTTGCCAGCCAGTAATACTGGAATAAGGGCCTAGGGCCCATATACCTGTTCAGGCCAGAGCTGCCCGTCAGCCATAGCATTTCACCAGCACATGTAATCAGACAGCCAGAGTACACCTGATATTTCAAGGAAATTACCAACAAAAGCATGGATTCCAAAACAAATTTTGAAAAGAAAAAAAAAACCCAGCAGCAGCAGTAACTGGAGGAAAAAGAGACAATGCAGGAGGCAGAGGAATACTTTCTAAAAATATAAAGCTTTTTAAAAGTATTCCAGAGAGAATATTTATTACAATAAATGTCCTCAGAGAAGATATTACATCCCTAAAATAAAACAGGATACAATTATAATTGTTATAATTGTATCTAGCAGAGAACGAAAAGAGTACTTGAAGAATAAAAAAAGATAGTAACATTAAAAAATGTAAAAGATAGCTTGTTCCACCATGTTGGAGCCTATGAAGGTTTCTAGGAACAGGACTTCAAAATGACAAATACATATCGAAGGCTGTGGTCCAAGGTAATTTCTGCTGGCTTAAGTGGTGTGTCTGGAACCAGAGGGAGCACACAGCTCTTCTTAAAATTGAAGGTGTTTATGCCTGAGATGAAACTGAGTTCTATCTATGCAAGAGATGTACTTGTGTCTGCAAAGCAAAGAACAATACAGTGACTCCTTTCATGGCAAACCGAACAAAACCAGTCATCTGGGGAAAGGTAACTTTTGCTCATGGCATGGTTCATGTTAAATTTTCAAACAAAGTTCCTGAAAAGGCCACTGAACAGAATCCTTGTAATGTTGCACCCCTTGAGGATTTAAACTTAATGAAAGGTAAATTTAAAAGGTAAAAGAGAAACTACAAGAAAAGTCAAAGACTGGTGTCCTACAGAACAGTGCCAGCTACCTGCATGCCAGTCTCCCCACATCTTGTAAGAACCACCCAGATAAAAAAAAAAAAGATAAAACTACCCAAACCCATGCTGGCTATAAAATTAGGAGTCAGAGAATACTACAAACTTCAATTTGCAGGTAAATAGAGAAATGAACATTCAAAACCAGATGGAGCCACTCCCACACCCACCTAGAGTACAGAGTGACAGGAGAGACTGTACAGAAAGAGGATAGGCTGAACCTCAAATACAAAAATAAGGAGGATAGGTCTCAGACCTGGCAGATCACAGCAGTGGCTACTAAGAAATTGAAATGAAGGAGCTAGAAAGTACATACTGGTAGCAATTTGGAAAGAAATTGCTTCTGGGGACGAGAGTGAGACATCATAGAAGAGGAAGATATGCTTTGGCAGCTTTATGACAAAGAATAAGAAGGAAGTAAGTAGGAACAGACAAGATGGAGGGGGAGTGAATGGAAGATACATTAACCTCCACCCAGAACTAATCTGGAATTATAACTGAATTATGGAGAAATCACCCAAACAAACTGAATAATAGAGAGAAGCCTTATAACCTTAGACAGAGGAATCAGCTTCAGCACAACCTGACTGGTAAGGAGTGTGGTGGAGACTTGAGAGGGCTGGCTGGGCGCGCACAGGCAGCAGCTCCAGCAGGACAATTAAGCAGCCAATTGGATCCCCCTGAGAAGAATGGGGTCTAAACCCTAAGCTGGGATCCCCAGCCTAGAGCACCAGAGCATGGAAAGTACACAGATAACAACCAGTGACAAAAGGCTACAGTTTTGCTCTCTGCCAGAGATGGATGGCTGGAGATTCAAAGGGCCATTTTAAAGGGCCAATATACATATTTTATTTCCTTTTTTGTTTTGTTTTAATTTTTAATTCAATTATTTATTTATTTATTTTTCACATTTTCTTTATTGTTGTTCATATAGTTGTCTCCATTTTCCCCCCACCACTCCTACCACCCAGCCATCCCCAATTCTCATCCTTCATCCTACCCACCTTTAGATTTGTCCACATGTCCTTTGTACATGTTCCTGAAAACCCTTCCCCTTGTTCCCCCCATCATTGCTTCTTACCTCCCCCTGGTTACTGTCAGTTTGTTCTTAATTTCAAAGTTTCTGGTTATATTTTGCTTGCTTGTTGGTTTTGTTGATTAGGTCCCACTTATAGGTGAGATCAAATGATATTTGTCTTTCACTGCCTGGCTTATTTCATTTAGCATAATGCTCTCCAGATCCATCCACGCTGTTGCAAAGGGTATGAGCTCCTTCTTTCTTTCTGCTGCATAGTATTCCATCATGTAAATGTATAATTTTTGATCCATTTATTTACTGATGGGCACTTAGGTTTCTTCCAGCACTTGGCTATTGTAACTTGCAACACACACATTTTCATTTACAGCCACTTACCATGAACTCTGGCAAAGGTGGGGGCACAGTGGGCTAGAGATGCCTGTGAAGAAACTGAGGTCAGAAGCTTTGGGGAGAGAACTGAGAGAGTAGCTGCTGGAATCCCAGTGCTGAGCCATCCCCCATACAGCAGCAGCAGTAGTCTGAGGGACAACAATAGCCCCAACCACAGGAAGGACTCTGTCCTCGACCTGTGATGCTTAGGCCAGACTGCTGAGTACAGAATGACTAGATTAACAACTGAAGGAGTCAGACACAGACAGTAGGTCCCTGGAAAAGTAGGGGCAGAGTAGACTAGAGATGCCTTAAAGAGACTTGGGACAGAGGCTTTGTGGAAAGAACTGAAAGAGTAGCCGCTGGGATACATCCCGCAGGCAATAGCCTGCTTGCTCAGGCAGACTACTCCCCTTCGAACAGCAACAGCCTGAGGAGAAACAGCAGGCTCAAACACCAGGAGGGACTCTGCCCTTCCCTATGGTACCTAAGCCAGGCTGCTGAGTACAGACTGACTAGATTAACAGCTGATGGAC